ACGATATCCACGCGGTAGCGTTGGGCCAGCTTGTTCAGCATAACCGACGCGGTCACGCCCTTGACCAACGCGCCCCGGTCGCCCCGCTCCAGAAGGTACAGCGAGAACACCTCCAGGGTGCTGACGAACCGCCCGTTTTCATCCACCAGGCCGATGCGGTCAGCGTCCCCGTCCAGCGCCAGGCCGGCCGACGCGCCATCACTGGGCACGCGGCGGCAGAGTTCAGTCAGGTTATGGGCGATGGGCTCCGGCTGTGGCATTCCAGGAAAGGACGGGTTCACCTCGGCGCGCAACTCGGTGACGGTGGTCGTGCCGCCTTTCAGCATCCCCAGAATGAACCCGGCGCCGTGCATCGCGTCCACGATCACGTCGAGCCCGGCGGCGCGGATGGCGTCCAGGTTCACCAGGCTGGCGATGGATTCCCGGTACGCTGGAGCCGGGTCAATGTCCTCGACCAGGCCCGCATCGCGATCGGTATCCAGGGCCATGGTCCTCGGCGGCCTCGCCGATTCGATGCACAACTCCAGTACGTCCGTCATGGCCTGACTGGCGCTGCCGCCCTGCGCCGATTTGAACTTGAACCCGCTCCACGCCGCCGGATTATGACGGGACGTGATCACCACTCCGCCGGCCGCACCACTGTGCACCACTTGATGACTGACCACCGGCGTCGGAGCAGGCTCCCGGCACAGGCTCCCGGCAATACCGTTGCCGGCGATCACCGAAGCCACGGTCGCCGCGAACTCGCGTGAGGCGAACCTGGTGTCGTAGCCCACCACCAGGCCGTCGCCGGCCGAACCGTCGGCGTGCAGGTAGTCGGCCAGACCCTGGGAGCAGCGCGCCACGTTGGCAAAGGTGAAATCGTCGGCGATGATGCCGCGCCAACCATCGGTCCCGAACTTGATAGGGGAAGCCATGCCGGGATTATAGCACTGGGGCCCACTGCCACACCGACGCCGGCGCCGACCGCCATTCCGACTCCCGAGCCCACCCTGGCGCCGGCGGAACGCGAGCGTGCCGTGTTGGTCGCGCTCTACGAAGCCACGGCCGGGTCGGACTGGACCGACAGCACGGGCTGGTTGAGCGACGCCCCGGTGGGCGAGTGGCACGGAGTGACCGTCGACGATGATGGCCTGGTCACCCAGTTGTCGCTTCTTGAGAACGGCTTGACCGGCCAAATACCAGCCAGCCTGGGCGAGCTGTACAACCTGAGGCACCTGGACCTGGGACAGAACCAGTTGAGTGACGAACTACCATCTACGGTGGGCAACCTGAGTGGTCTGGTCAGGTTGGATCTGGCGCAAAACCAGCTGAGCGAGGAAGTACCGGCGGAACTGGGCAAGCTGAGCAATCTGGAATCGCTGAACCTCGGCAACAATGATCTGACTGGGACCGTACCGCCGGAATTAGCTGAATTGACCAACCTGGGGGCGCTGCTGCTGCGGAATAACCAGTTCACCGGAGATATCCCGCAGGAACTGCAGGGGTAGACCAACCTATTCGCCATTTGGTTGGACGGCAATCAATTGACCGGATCCGTACCGGAATGGCTGGGGCAGCTGGGTAGTGTCC